GCGACGTAAGGTAGTGAGTCCAAGTTTACTGCACGGGGGGCGTCAACGTCGCAGCACGATGCCGTAAGCATATCAAGTAACGCGCCACTCTCGATCGTGCTCTCCCCGCCGCGCCGGGCTGCCCGCGCACGCCGAGCGCCATGCCCTTCCCGCGGCGGCCCGTGTCGTCGGGCATCTGCGACGCCATCCGGCAGAATCTGCGGTCGACGACGCCGAAGACGCTGCCGGACCGCACGGTGTCCTTCGTCGACCGCGCCAGCGGCCGCGACGGCGAGTTCTTCTGCGCGACGCCCATCGCGCCGTCGCTCGTCGAGGTCAAGCCTTTGACCCCGGCCATGTGCGACGCGGCGACGAAGAAGACGCGGGAGATCGACCGCAAGCGCTGGCTGAAGCTCCACGCGTACATCGCGAACCGCGTCGACCGGCGGTCGCTGTCGTTCAACGATTTGAAGGACGCGGACGAGTTCTTCGAGTGCCTCGCCGGCGGCGACGACACGGTGGACGCCGACGAGCTCGAGAGCGCGTTGCGCTTCTGCGGCATGAACCCGAGCCGCCGCGACATCGACCGGGTCATGCTCGAGATCGACCAGGACGGCTCCGGCGAGCTCGACCGCGACGAGTTCATCACGCTGCTCTTCGACGCGGAGATGAGCCAGCGCTTCTTCGACGCGGCGCGGTCCGGCGACAAGCGGAGCACCATGCTCACGGTGCCGCTGTGGTCCCTCACGTACCAGCGGAAGAAGAAGCTCCAGGGCTGCTACGAGGACTACGGCGCGCCGGGGGACCAGGCGGCGGCGTCGCCGAAGCGCGAGACGGTCGAGGGCGTCGTCGCCATCGAGTCGCCGGGCGGCCGGCGCACGAGCCGCCCGAGCCGGGCGTCCCCGCGGGGCCCGGGGTCGCCGGGCCGGCCGGGCGGCGGCCGGTCGAGCGCCGAGGTCGCGGACGCGCTCGAGCACCACCAGCGCATCCGGGGCACGAACACGCTCAAGGAGGGCCCCAAGGCCGGCGGCGACGACGACGACGACGACTCCGCGCGCTCCGCGGGCCGCCGGCCGTCGCGCGCCGCGGGATCGGCCGCGCGGCGCGCGTCGCGCGCGCGGTCCGCGTCCGTCGCGGACCGCGACAGCCGCCGCGCGTCGTCGGCGGCGCGCGGCTCCGCCGTGGGCTTCCGCGTGCGCAAGAACACGGCCGCGCTCAACGCCGCGGCCGTCGTGACCGCCGCGGTCCACGAGGAGGAGAAGGTCGAGGTCGTCGACGAGGCGAAGATGCGCCAGCGGCAGATCACGCGCTACGCGCCCCAGTACGCCCAGTCGAAGACGTCCCGCTTCCGCCGCCAGGGCGTGGACCAGGGCAGGACAAGAGAGCGAAATTCCCAACTTCAAAGGCTCATATCTCGGCCGTTTTCCACTCGTTTTGGCTGATTTTTGGACGAGCGATCATCTCTTGGAACGGTCTCGAAGCGTGGATGCTTTTTGCGGAACGCGCGCGCGCGGAACACTCACGTTGAAGCGACGTTGAATCTCTCTTGTGCTGCCCAGGCGTCGACGCGGACACGCAGGACGCGTACCGCGACGACAACGACGTCTTCGTCGACACGTACTCGACGGCCAGGGTCCGCAAGGGCCACCGGGCCCGCGGCGTCGTCGACCTCGGCACGCAGAAGGAGGGGCCCAAGCGCGGGCCGAAGAAGGCCGCCAAGACGCGCGAGCAGATCGCCGGAAGACGCGGCGGGGGGCTCTTCGCGGGCAAGGCCGTCGGCGTCGTCGTCGGCTCCGCCGGCGGCGGCAAGCTCGCGGGCACGGGCCAGATGGTCGGGCCGGGCGCCTTCCGCCGCGCGGGCGGCGTGCGGGGGGGGCTGTCGTAAAAAAATGTTGGCCCCACGGCAACATCGGTTCATGTTGGGTTCACCATGAGCTCGAGAGGGGAATAGCAGCCACTGCGGCGGCGATCCGTTGAGCTTTGGTTTACTCTCGGCTCGCTGTATGTGTTTGGTTCCGCTCATCGGCTCGCTGTATGTATTTGGTTCCGCTGATTTCGGGCCGAGACGGCATGGACGCATTAAATTTAGTCGAGCGCGCCTACCACCGCGCGCGCCCCCCCCGCGTGCAAGATGGCTGGGGCTGCGCATAGCGCGCACATCGGGGCTGCCATCCGCGAAGGAGCGGCAGCGTTTGGATTGCGACTCGCTGAGAACGCGAGCGGCTTCGGGCGACCGATTTGACCGACGCGATGCCCCTCCCCCGGCCCGTGAGCGGCCCGGGCAGCCCCGCGCAGCAGCAGGGGTCGTCCGCCATCGACCCGCGAGCGCCCTGCCACAAGAGCTGGCCCAGAGGAGCCGAGGAGTCGGTCCGACACGTTCGGGCTGAAACCGCGTCGCGCGCGCCCGCGCGCCCGCGCGCGCGGAGTCGCACGTCGTTCGAGCCAAGCCAGCAACTGAGCAGCCCGAGGCAATCAGACATGTAACCCGAGCCTCCGAGCCAGCCAGCACGCTGCCCAGAGCCCAAAATGGGCTGCTTCGGCTCGCAGAGCATGCCGAAATGCTCGAACTTCGCGCAGCGATTCCGGACGACGGCCAGGGTGTCCATGGTCACGGAGCACGGTTCCGAGCACACCAGAGGCACGTCTACCGCGATCCGTAGCCCGTGACCGTGGACAGCCGCGCGCGCGCGCGCCGGCAAATGCCAAAGAGAGGCTCTCCCTGCTTCTCCCCTCATACCAAGTGATCTCACCAAGTGCGGCACCGGTACCGTGCTCTCCGCGTCGAGGCGCGCCTCGCGCCTGCCGCGCGCGCGATGGAGTGTCCGGCGTGCACCTTCGTCAATGCGCCCGGCGCG